GCCTGCCCCAGGCCCCGCTCCCGCCAGTGGAGGATGAGCCGTCGTGGGGTCCCCATCGCCTGGCGCTGCTCGTCCCTTTCCGGGAGCGGTTCGAGGAGCTACTGACCTTTGTGCCATACATGCACCGCTTCCTAAGCACCAAGAGGATTCGCCATCACATCTTCATCCTCAACCAGGTGGATCATTTCAGGTAGCGTGTCCCCTTGCTGCAGTGAGCAAAAGGAGTGAGGGGACCCCTCACCCAAACTCAGCCCCACCATGAGTGCTGAAGGGTCTCCCGCTTTGCTCTGGCAGCTTGGAGAAGTGTAGGACCTGGGGCGAGATGCTCTCCTTGAATGTTCTCACTCTGGAGCTTACGGAAGGATAAAGCAGTGTTTTGCTTCTCTCTCCTTAAGCAAGAAGAGCATTATATACCCCCAGACATGTCATCTTTCTCCCCAGTGTTGCAGGTCTATAGCAGTGAACATTTGGGGATGCTGAAATTCACAGAAATGCCATGGGGTGCTTGCAGACGCTATCACTTAGCCCCTGCTCACCATTTGGTACCTGCGTGCAGCCCCAGCCTGTGCTGTGGAGCTCCCCAGCTGGCCTTGGGCAGAATGGAACTTGCTGTAGCCCCTTGTGGTCTGCAGTGGTCAAACCTCTGTGTGTCACCATGAGGCTTAGCGTAAGCCTCAGGACAGGCAGTTGAGGCACCCACCACTGTGGAGGCAGGGAACACTGTGTCCCATTTGGGGACCAGCTGGACATTTAGCTGAGGAGCATGAGAGAGGAACATGAAGGGACGGTGTCCACTGTGCGTGGTGCTGAGAGTCCCTGTCTGTGGCAGGTTTAACAGGGCATCCCTGATCAACGTGGGCTTCCTGGAGAGTGGCAACACCACTGACTACATTGCAATGCATGACGTTGATCTGCTGCCCCTCAATGAGCAGCTGGACTACAGCTTCCCGGAGGCAGGACCCTTCCATGTGGCATCCCCAGAGCTGCACCCACTCTATCACTATAAGACCTATGTGGGTGGTATCCTGCTGCTCACCAAGCAGCACTACGAGATGGTGAGTGCATGGGTGGGATGTCCCAGGCAGTTTGGGGCAAGGACTATGAGACTGTCTTGATGAACAGTTGTGCATGTTGTGTTCCATGCTTGAGAAGTGGGGGGAAAGGAGTTAAAATGCTTTGGGGACAGAACCTGTGGTGTGAGCTGATTAGGGGCAAGGGTTGGGAGGCTGTGCTTGGTGCTCAGAGCTTCTGATGCTGGTGTCTGCTCCTCTGTGGTGCATGGACCGGACCTTGGCCAGTATGGTGCTCCTCTCATTCCAGTGCAATGGCATGTCCAACCGCTTCTGGGGCTGGGGACGGGAGGATGATGAGTTTTATCGACGTATCAAAGGAGCTGGTCTCCAGGTAAGGGGTGCAGTGTGGCCTCCTAGGTTGAAATTGCCTAAGAAAGTCTCCCCACCTGGTCCCCAGTTGTAGCTGCCCAGGCAGAGACCTGGGAAAGGCAGACCTTCTGCGCTCCCCACTCCAGTAGCAGGCACAGCAAGTTTTCCAGTAGCTTCACAGAAGCTTTGCTCTCCTTCCAGGTTCGCCGTCCTTCTGGAATCACAACTGGATACGAGACTTTCCAGCACCTGCATGACCCAGCCTGGAGGAAGAGAGACCAGAAGCGCATCGCTGCACAGAAGCAGGTGAGACCTGAGACCTTCATCTGGTCGAGGGGAACCTTACGAGATGCGGTTGTGATCACTGTGTGCTCTTTGCTCTACTTGCTCATGTCCTCCCCTGCCAGCTTTGTGCTCCCACCTTGGGTTCTGGGTGCTTCCTCCTTTTGCTGGAAGCCAGAGTGGGCTGAATGGTCTCTCTCTTCCTCAGGAACAGTTTAAGATGGATCGGAAGGGAGGCCTGAACAATGTGAGGTACCGAATTGAGTCACGGACAGCTCTGAGTGTGGCAGGAGCCCCTTGCACCGTCCTTAATGTCTTGTTGGACTGTGACACAAACGAGACCCCTTGGTGCACGTTCAGCTGAGCCAATTGCATCACTGTGCTTGAGCTGAGATGCCGGGGCTGCCACCAAGCTGCTTGGAGCAGGCAGGATCTTTGCAGTGGCCGATCATGGCAGTGCTGGCGAGACACAGAGGGACAGAAAAGGCCAAGAACCAGGCTTTGCTGGGACCAACAGAAGAGGCTGAGAGTGGGACTTGGTGGCATCACTGTGGACACTGGTGCTGCCTCCCAGGGCAGGTGCAGGAGGCTGTTTTCCTGCTCTGGACATGGCTGAGCTGCCACCCAGCTCAGAGGACAATAAAGAACTATCAGGGCACCTGTGTGTTGTGAGTGCCCTGGGCTATGCCATGCTGCTGCTTCTTCCTGCTCCCTTCACCTTACTGGCTTCAGCACACCCATTTCTGGTTTGGCCCCAGCTACACTCTGGCAGGACAGGCAAGCTCTGGTTTGGAGGCCAACCTGGTCCAAACTAGGCTCCAAGTGAGGTGGTGCCTGTGTTTCAGCTGCCAGGTACCCCCAGGGCTGTGCTGTGGTCACTTCATTGCAGGAAGTGGTTGTGCCATGCCCCAGGCCCCAGCGTCCGCAGCTCTGCTGGATGTCAGCAGTTGAGGTAGCCCAGGACTTCTCTCTGTGGAGTGAGGAGAGCTCTGGCTGAGCTACTCCCTTCCTTGCCTGCCTTCTGTGGCATGTGCTGCCTCAGCCTTCTTGGGGACATTGGAGAACCTGGTGTCCCCCCAGAAGTGCTGTGGGAAACTGGATCTGCTCTGGCTCTGTATGAGGCGCCCTCGGAAGGGGTGGCTGCCAGGCTCACTGCAGTGCTGATAGAGATGAGGTAATGGCATGGGTGAAGGGCAGGAATTAGGATGGTTGCCCCTGCCTCACCTGAGTCAGGGGGAACAAGAACTTGCCTGGATGAGGAAGGAGCTGGAATGCTCCCTCAGAGGTGGGAACAGGAGTTTGGGTTGATGAGAGAGAGGCAAGGCTGCATGGGGCCCAGGCTGCAGATCTCACCCCCTTGCTCTTGCTGCCAGGCTGGTTTCTCCCATGTTGTGGCAGGACAAGGGCCTGGGCTGCCCCTTTAGGCAGGGCTGGGGGGTATTTACTTGCTGAGGGTATCAAATGCAGGTCCCCCACTGCTGGCGGGGCCTGCAAGGGCTCTGCTGTGGGCTCAAGCACCCACTGGGGATGTGGCTTGTCTGGATCAGTGAGTGGGTTGGGTAAGGTGCCTGGGGAAAAGGCCGTGTCAGCCTTGGGGTACTGGTGGGCAGGAGGTGGCTGGGCAGATGCACCCTGCAAACCCTGGGTCCCTGACCTGCTGCTGCCAGAGCAAGAGCAGCCGTGGGAGGTGGCAGAAGCACTGGTGCTGTGTGCTGGGAGAGTGCCCTGGGGCAGGAGACATGAGGAGGAGGTGAAGAAGAGGAGGAGGTGAGTGTCCTCTTGTGGCTGCTGGGAACAAGCTGCAGTGCTGGACCCAGGCAGTGGGAAAGCTGGGAAGGTCCCAATGGATGAGGAAGGACACTGGGTGCTGTCAGTTATTTGGGGTTAGTACAAATCAGCCACACCAGCACCGTTTGCTGGGAAGCGGGATGTGTAGAGCTGGGAGGGAGGGAAGGGGGGGCACGTACCCTGCTCAAGCCCCAGCTCAAGCCCCAGGTGGGAGCAGCAGCCATGGAGCAGCACCTGGTCCATGCCCACCCATGCTGGGAGCTGTGACCTCTAGGATGCTGCTGCTCACCCTGACCTGCAGAGGCTTGCAGAAATGCCCACCAGCTCTCAAAGGAGGCCCCTGCCAGCGCTGGGCTCCTCTCCTCTGTCACCAGCCTGGCCTGGCCATCTGCTTGGGCTGCTGGGTGAAATGGTGCTGTGCTGCTCCACAGTGGAGGGTGCTGGGCTGGCACAGATGGTGCCATGTGCTGGCTCTGGGGTCTTGGCATGCATTTGGGGTTCTACTGCCTCCTCAAGCTGGGCAGACCAAGCATAGCAGCCAGTACCCCTCCAGTCAGACCCATCTCCAGCACTGGCACCAGGCCCTCCATGTTTCCTGGCCCCTTCCACCCATCCCCTGCCTGGCACTTCCTGGAGCAGTTGCTTTGCTGGGTGCCTGCAGATGTCCCCAGACAGAAGCTGTTGCCATCCCAGGAAGATGAGCGGCTGCAGGGACATGGCACCTCCGGCGAGGAGCATTGGGATAAGAGGCAAAAGCATCAGAGCCAGGCGTGGGGTTTGTGTACCGTGTAAGGGCAGCAGGATGAGAGGAGCGTCTGGAGAGATCTGGTGCTATCTGCTTTCCATGATGCTCTAGAGCTCGGTGATGAGTCCAGAGTCCTGTGGGCTGGGGTGTGAGAGGAACTGCCTCCTGATGAAGGGATTGAGGTCATGGTGGTAAGGATCAGACTATGTTGCTTTGCATCATCCAAGGTGCAGGCAGGCCCAGCCTCGGGGGATGTCCTTGCCCCAGGGTGAGGACATGCTGGGGATGCACTACCAAAGAGCTCCCAACAACAGCCTCCCCAGCCCAGCAGCCCCAGAGGAGCAGTGGTGTCTGGCACGAAGATTGGGCTTGGACACACAGTACATGGCTCCAGAGGTGTTCCCAGGACGCACATCATGTCCCTCAATGTGGTCGGACAGAGGGAGACATTGGTCCAGCATCTCCAACATGCAAGCTTTGGGACTGACCACCTGCATGGCAGCCACTTACTGGCACCTGAACTGCAGCCAGGGCTGGCGGAGGCAGATCAAAGTATTTATCTGCGCTATTCAAAATAGATGACACAGTTTCAGGCAGGTTTCATGAAGATGTCGATGTGCAGAAACAGAGAGCATATGTGCCCCTCGCACTTCGCTCAGCACTAAAGGCTCCTCTCCCGCTGCCTGGCAGCTATTTCTCAGCTCTGCTCGCAGCCCCCTCATCCTCTGGTTGCTTTTGTGGAAGAGGCACTGTGCTGGAGACCTGGCTTCCTTTTATAGCTGTGAATGTGACTCTGAGGTCGCTCGGCTCTGTTTCACCCCCCCACGCACTTCAGTATTAGAAATGGCCCAGCAGGAGGGGATGAGATTTTCCCCATCGCCTTTCTTCAGATGGATAACACCCTGCCTGCTGTCCCTGGAGCCCCATGGTGCCAAGCTGGAAGCCTCCTGGTGTTCCTATGCTCTCAGCAACGCTGAGGTGGGGGTCAAGGTACTCAGGGGCAGAGAGATCCCGCAGAGTCCAAGACCTGCCCCTTTGCAACCGCCCCTTCTGTGGCCCAAATTGCCATCAGTGAGGCTGCGGGGCGGGGGTGTGTGTGTGTGTGTGTGCTGCTGCGATCGGTTGGCTTTTATTGCTAGGTTGTTTGAACTGAATGGTTCCCAGAGCTGTTTGCTGGCTGCCACATGAACTTGCTGTAGTATTGTGATGTGCAGGGACTGGAGGGTGAAGGGAGCGAGGAGAGTGGGCTAGGGAAAAGCCAGTGGGAGGCAGGAGCATCTCAGCATCCCTGGCTGTTGGAATGTCCCAGGCAGTGATGAGCCCTGGGGCCCTGTGGGAGCTGCCAACGCAGGGAGATGAGCGGGGAGAATGCAGCCCACAGCAGAGACAGGAAATGGGGCAGACGGGATGGAGTGAGGGGTGCGGCTGTGACCAGTAGCTGCTGAAGTCAGCCCGGCATCACTGCAACCTGCCAAGTCCAACCCTGGTGGGATGATGTTACATGCCTCTGCAGCATGTGCCTGTTCCCACGGGCTGCCAGGGGTGCCCCATTCATAGCTGAGCTCTGGAGCTCAGCCTGGTGCCAGCAGGATGGGAAATGGCACTATTGCAATGGGTCCCCCAATTCAGAAGCCACATGCTGCCACTCCAGCATGCGGCCAGGCAGTGAAAATGGGCTGTGGGGAACAGGGAGGCCGGGATGCAGAGAGCGGGTGCATGCCTTGGCACCGCACCAAGGATAATGTGAGCGTGTGAGCAGGGCCCGGGCACAGTGTGTGTGTGTGGGTGAGCACTGGCAGCACAGAGAGGACTCTGGTGTGTTGTGGGGGGAGCTGGCACGGCCGGGGTGCTGCTGCATGCTGGATGCATGGGTCCCGTACCCAGGTTGGGGATAGAGCGGGTGCGATCCTTGACCAGGGAGAGACGGGCACCGTGTGGGGCTGCTGCAGGTGTCCTGCTCTTCCAGGAGGATGAATACCCAGTGACCAGCTCTGCCCCGTGCCGGCATTCCCTGCTCCCTGTGCCTGGCACGCTGCAAGGGGTGCCGAGTGACAAAACCAGCTCCCGGCCAGGACGTGGCAGGATTGATTCCGAGGGATGAAGCGT